TWAMCMAAAAAAWAGAAATAAAARMATTTTSACTTCAGCTTAAAATTTYCATCAATAGAAACTGGTTAATCGTTAAGAATTTTTATTTAATGTAACCAAGAAATGTTTTTGTACCAAATTTAGTTTTCTAAAATCAGGACGTTTCMACTTTGGGTGCGGCCYTCATTACAGGGACAAAAGCCTAAATTTATGTTCATGACAACCTGACAAAATTGAAACTAGTCAAGGTGTAATAGTAATTTATATTATAGCTATCATAGTACGCGCTCTCTGATTGGTCAAATGTTATTGTTTAATTCACCKGTAAATGCACGGATTTGAAAATGCTATAATATATAAGCAATAAACAACACATTTTTACGCCTTTTTCGTGTTCTCCCAACATCCCGCGTGGTCTATTTCTGAATCGCCAGGTACGCACGAAAATGTGTTGTTTATTGCTTAAGAAACACATGTACATGCCTTAGTCGAGCGGTTTTCAAAATACCGTGAAATACTGTGGTTTTCATAACAGCTTACTCTCTATAGTGCAAGTTTTTCTTTACCTTTTTGAGATATGACATTGGAGTTCGACGATTAAACTTACGTTTCACAGGAATATATTAACCACTTTAAGGTGTAATAGAGTATATGATACTAGCGAAAAGACGAAGGACAAACATTCACTTGCGCAAAATAAAGTATCGTCAAGTGCCTTGGCTATAGTTTATTTTATCAGTTACTCCGCAAACAATCGATTTAAAACTACAGAGGTGAATCAGCGGAATATCTTTTTCATATCTTTCGCAACTTTTTTTCTTATTTGACCTTAGATATTTGTATATTTAGTGATAGTGAAAAATCTACCACGAATGAATTTCACGCTGAGAAGGCCTGTTTGATTCATATGTAATGTACAATCCTAATTTTCGTGTTTTCATTTGATTTATTTCTTACAGGGAAGATCCATCACAATGAAAGTTCTTTGTGGAAATGAATAACCAGAGAACAATGGCTTTGAATAAGGTAACATGTACAATCTAGTATGTCAAGCTAAAATCTTTTTAACTTTATGAATTTTATTGGGATTTTGCGACCACTAAATAAACCGCTGCACTCATCTAAACCTTTAGCTCTAAATGGCAATGTCGAACCAGCATTCAATGCGGTTGTGATTTAGATTTCATATTTATTGAAAATGAAGTGACTTCAAATATCTATTCGCAATCCGTTTCAATCCATCGGTTTAAAGGTCGAATCTTACAGTATCTCCATTCATAGAGTATAAAGGGATAATAAAGAGTAATTTTTTGCTTGTATTACGATATATTTTTTATGTTCAAACATAAACAAAAGCTCGAAAGGGATGCCGGTTAATCATGGCCCTTTAAAATAGTGTAGAAAGTTGCAAATTGTTGACAACTGTCTCCCACAACGTTTTTGTAATAATTGTCGACGCAGTTGTAGCGAGTTATACATTTTGTGATCAATCTTTGCAAACTTGCCTCGATTACTTTGAGATCCAGTTACCGTAATGATGAATTACCCATCAAACAGCCGTAAAAATGCTGTCAACTTTTAAACATATAATACCATGCATCACACTATTTATAACAAAAATATTCTTTTAATCAAAGCGAAGTTGTCTTTCTGACTTACAAACGATGTTTTCGATGACAAAGACCTTTTTCAAAATCCAATGTTTCCGCCATTGTTMTGTCACTCGAGAGCAACTTACCCGACAAGTCTCTATCAAAAGCACAACAAATATCCGACCATAGCGACTTAATTTGAAGTTTAATATATCATAAGGCAGGTTTCAAATGGCTAAATTTTAACTCGATAAGGAAATTACCGATTAGAAGCAAAGTAAACTTCGCAGAAAATGACATCCGCGCGGATGTAAGGTGAGCTGCAGTAAATCATTTTTCTTCTAAAGTTTAGCGCATAAATTGYTTGAGTCAGCTGGATAGGAAAACACTTCAAAGTTACGGATCAGTTATAAGACGTCTCAGTAGTTGGTGCGTGAGTTGAGTGTTTTTGATCGATATTAGGCCTCTATGTCTCCTATTACACAATTGAAATGCAATTGAAAAAAGCCATGATAACACTGTGAAATTCAATAACTTCATTGAACGAGCCAGACGTTTTCTGAAATGGTTCATTTAGATCAAGAACGGGAAAAACAATACTTCAARMAAGTAAGACAAAGCTTTATACAGTTTTTATTGAATTATTTTGAAGATTGAAATTTGTTGGCGCGCGCCGCCCTTAAGAGTTTATGGAAAGATCAAAAATTGCATCCATTTTCATCTCAAGACGTTTTAATTTCCACATTTTGAGCGAATTTATTTTTTTCAACAATTGCGCAGTACTGGATTATGTTTTGTCATCGCTTCGATTTCTTTTTCTTACTTTATTATTATTATTTGTTTGTTTTTAGTTTATATTTATGTTGCTAGTTTATTCAAAACACGCTCACGGTGAGTGTGCTGTAAATATTGATTAAATTCTTGATAGCAATGTTCATCGACCAAAAAAAAAACAGTCAATATTGTTGTACTTATTAGATGAAGATTGCTTTTTTTTTTCTTTTTTCTTTTTTTTTTGTGCAGAGCAAGAGTTTTCAAGTTACTTCACAATTTGTTAATTCTTTTTTCAGCAAAGCGAGAGTGAATATTCTTCGTTTTCAAGTTACGTCACAGCGGCCATCTTGGAGGAACGTCAACAAAGATTTCTCATTAGTATCTGTTTTTCATTCTTCCAACATGGCCGCGATGATTTTATCTTTTGAATCTCATTGAAATGGTTGAAAACGATCAATTAGCTATCATTATTTCTTTTATTTAAGAATTATAACACAGTAGCATTCGGACGTGCAAACTCTAGAATTCAGTCTCCCGAACAACATTTCAAAATATCAAAAAATTACAAAATCTGAGAGCATTTTTTTGGATAAACAAGGTCAATATAGACAAAACAAGTGTGGTTTGTGCTATGTTTTATAAAGAACTCGTTATCAGTTATATTAATATTACGTAGCCAGCGGCAAATTTCCAAGCCCACTTCGTATCACAAAACTCCGTAGAGAGATTAAGAGATTTGAGCTTTTAAAAACATTGGCTTCGAGTTCATTGATAGTCGAGTTACAAATTTTAGCAGAATGCTTTGAATGTAATTCTTAATTAACTCATGTTTTTCATAAAGAGTGTATAGCTGTTACAGATGAACTTATTTAATTATATGAATTAATATGATTTTGGTATTATATAATTGCAAAATTACGAGCCTTTGGGCTGCAACTGACTAGATATTTGAAAAAATATTTTTATTGCCGATAAAACACGAATTAATTTAGGAAGCAACAAGTAAAGGATTCATTCGTTTAGGAACAACAAACTCACGAATAATGCGATTTTATAATATTATATTAACATAAATATGAGRAATTCAGTGCTAAACGGTTTACAAATATGGCCGACATCTTGATTTTTTTCACAAATTTACACCTTTTTGTTGATATCTCATATAAAAAAATGGTTCCTCTTATATCTTATGCAAGGTTTTGATCTAATGAATAAAAAAGGATTTCATYTCTTATGCTTTCACACTAAATTGTGCACATTTCAATCATTAAACATTTTCAAAACTGCAAACTTTTTAATTTCCTTGACCCCTCAAGCACTGCAATTCGAATTACTTGTAAATAACTAATCTTATTATTAAACTATATAATTATTTTAAGATGATTGCTTTATCGCTGGAAGGTTTACAACAAAATATCCCATAGAGAAACTTTATTAATTTTGATAAATCTAGCGATTTTTCAATAAACTTATTTGCAAAAAAACGTCTGATCGCAACCATTACATCTAGTGCATAATATTAATCATTATAAAACTTATTAATAATGCATAAGCTATTGCTCCAATAAGGGCTGACCATTTAATCAGGTGATTGACCTTGTAAATCTGATACAACCACTAGTGGTTGTATCAGATTTACAACACGGTCGTCACCATTGAGACAACCCAACACTAGCAAAGGTCTCAGTTTTAGTGTCGCATCATAGACCTTCACTAGGTTTCGCCTGCGGCTCGAGATTGTAATTCCCATACAACACGGCCGCTCATGTTGTAAACTATACTTAATGTCATGGTTTTTTTTTTCGCTCTTTTCTAGCCAAATATGAGTGAGCATCAATCCTACTCTTTGAAATTATACTTATTTAGGATTAGTCACTCATAAACATTTGTGCGGAAAAATATACAAATGTTTTGAATATATTTTTATTATCCACACAAATTAAATCAAGAAAGCTTTAGTAACGCTAATTGTTCGCTTGCGCTGTGACGTCAGAATGTAATAAAATAAATTGTTGTACGATCTTGTTTTTTCAAAACATTTAAAAATGTTAATAAACATGCCTGCTAAGTTTGATTCTTCACGTAGGAAGCTTCGATAGCWATGCAAATCAATAGCAGAGCATTAATGGTAGAATTCAAGTTTCAATTTATAATTCGGGGACCTGGAAGTTWTAATTTATTTGTCGTTAAGTGCAGAATGTATGTATATAAATTCTATGATATGAATAATCATTCAGACCGAAGTGGACTTGTCAGATCACATCACCCACTCTTTATATTAGCCTGCAAAATTTAACACTATTCAAAAAAAAAGCCATCCAATGGAAACCTTGCAAAACTCATTGGCTATTTGGCAGCAAATTTCAGTGGTTTTGATGACWCTGTAAAATCTCTATAAATTTTCCAAGACTTGCATATATGCGTTTTTTACTTTCCGTGTATTTGATATAMTAAAAACCACAACCTCAACCATATATCATTCATAWAYATMAATATTATAGTGAGRTTCATACGTCATGTTATCGTCGCCATTAACGAAATAGTTTGAATTGGCATATGAACAGCTCGAAGTACAAATCAATCATTACTGTTCGGTGCTGGTTGGACAAACGTGCTCTGATTCAAACCGGCGTCAAGCTATCTTCGTGCCGGACTTAATCAACAAATATAATATATTTTYGATAATGATACTGGTTTCAATTGAATATAAGATCTTTTCTTATGCTTTTGACTWCATTTGGATCGACATGCGAATCAATCGCCGTAACATTATGTATTTTAGTCGGCAAGTATGRGACCTAAGAGTCCACATAACTAAGTTATCAGCTACAACATTCGCATCATGTCTTTGAGTTATTTTACCTTTTGAGATAAAACATAACGATTAATTAAAGCGTTTAATAATTTCAGTTGTAAAATAAAAACAAATACGAGTCCAGTTTGCGATAACGTGCAACAMACTTTACTYTGAAAGGAAGGAAACTCCGATTGAATTCCGCGAAAAAAAATCCACAATATTTCGCAGGCGAGTAAAAATTTCGCAATTTTCRCTTAATTTCGCGAAACTTTGTRAAATACTCACTGTCGAGGCAAATTAAGAACAAAATGCACATGAAAAGACTGTACTTTTAAATATTAAAAATCTACAACCATTAAGAAAGAGTGAATCTTTCATTACTCTTTATTACATTAAGCGAAGTAATTTCGAATTTGAAGTACAGTTTTAATATTTTTTCAATTGGCGGGAAGAAATTACCGGATATGACCTCGGGATGTATTTATTCACTCTCAATCGATGTGTATAAATTGCTTGCTAAGCCTGTAAGAGCGTAAAAATGCCTAATTATTAGCTCCTTTGGAACACTGCAAGGCCCTGTACATTATTCATGAAAAAAGACAAAGTCTTGTCCACGATTCTGTAACCCAATTGGCTGGTACCGCTTTTTATCAGTAGGGCATCATCGAGAGTGAATATTAACCTACCAACGAGATCTTGAAAAATTCCCTATGCGACTTGCATTTGTAAACCTACGTGCTRCCAGAGTTTTAAAATGACAAAAAACATCAGAAAGGTGATTTTAATTAAGGCATATAAAAAAACTTGATAGGCTGAGGTTTTTGAACTCAATTTGTTTTATTCTTAGATTTTGATCCTCCTGTGTTGGCGGTTGATGGTAACTACAGCGCGCAATTCTTCGTGTCCACTCCTTGGTGAGTACCTAGAAGGCGGTCGAGTTACACAACTCAAKCCAAAATAATATGTATTTTTGCACTAAACGCTTTTCCACCTATGAAATCATAATTTTGCTGCTTATTATTATATTATTATTATTATCATCCGACTTTTTTTTTCAAAAAGACAGTAACGTACATTAATTAAACTTAAAGATTACTAATTACAACGATAGCTATGTTATAACTCTGTCCGAACTTGCCTGCTGATGGCAGTCGGCACGAAGTGTAATAGCACCTTAGAATTAAAACTGAGAAGCTCAATTTAAAGACAATTTATTTAGCATAATTCTGAAATTCTTTTATTATGTGGTAAAAATCCCCCTTGCAAAGAACAGGAATAAAATTGGAGAAATAGTTAAAAATTTTAAAATTTCCAAGCACAAAAATTACCTTAGGAGAGATTTAACTGARTTTCTCCAAAGATATGACATTGATGAAAACTGAAAGCTCTTTTATTGCTGAAAAAAAAACCTGCCAAAAACGAGAAGAGAACAATGCTAATTTTTTCAAATATTAAAATTTCCGAGCTAAAAWTTCCTCCTTGGAGAGATTAGAATTGAATTCCTTCAAAGATGTGAAGTTCTCCCGATGATAAAAATTCCCGAGCATACAGTAAATAAACGGAACAAGCTCTAATTCTTATTTGTTTACTGCTCAATGTAAAATCCTACGTATCTACTATCACGTACGCAGATATAGTGTAGGATAATCGGACTTTGGGTAATTTTCTGCTAAAGACGAAGCGTTGAGATCAAGTGACAATCTACACATTCAAAAACCACACTTGAAAAGGGAGAAAATTGGAAGATACCGGRGTATGAATATACTGTAAAATGTAATTAGCGCTTTGTATAATTTCATTATTTCATCTCAATCTTTTTGTTATACTTAAAAATTCCCTTAAAAAATGTCCATTGTCTAAGGCGAAGAAGAGCAATCATGATGAACAAGCCGTAAAAGTATTTCCAAATAGATTTCTTTTTTCATGGAAATACTTAAGAAAAAAATTACTGTCTTTGTAGAGAAAACCCGATGACCTCAAGACTCGAAATGTTTGGTATTCTATGCCGGAAATGTAAAAAAAATTCACAACATTAAAATTACACCTTTAAAAGTCAATATGTTTCCATGGAAACGCTGTTGTGGCTATTTTCGGAACAATGTCTGTTGCAATTAACGCGRTGTATGGATGAAACTTTGGTTCGAACCCTGCTGATCAAACCTTCGAGAAGCTTTCAGCTCTTGATCAAAGCTTCCAAAAGCTTTCAGGTGTTTTCAACGCAGTAAAACAGCTGTCTACAAAGCTAAAAACACCAGAAGAAATAAAATGAATTATTTACAGTCAATTTAGTGACGTTTGGACTTCTTAAGTCGGTGTTCTTGAATTTTTGTCTAATATCTCTTAAATCGCTGGCGATAAAAATGTCGATAACGGTCCGTGGAGATAAAGACTTTCAAATTGACGTTTGCTAAAACGTTCCGACTAAAACAAGATATAATTGATTAGAAAGGCTTGATTTAAAACGTTTTCTTCACAATAACAGGACGTAGAAGCTTTACTGACTGTTTTTAACGTCATAACGTTGGARTTATTTATYGTGAAAGTTCAGAGGAGGTTAAAAAGGCGGAGAACTTACACCCATGCGCGATAAAATACACAGAATYATTTGTTAGTAYGTTTATAATATAGATGTGATAGTATGAGCGCTCTGATTGGTCCAAAAGTGTGATTTGTTTCGTGGGTAAATGCACGCTCGCGAGCATGACTAACTTTGTATATCATAAAAACAATAAAGGATGGATTACCGTGCGTTTATCGGTGAAATAAAGCACTTGGGGATGTCGGAAAAGCACGAAAAAACGCCCAACGCTCGTGATTTTTTAGGTCGTTTTTCGTTTTCGTGTTTTCCCAAAATCCCAATTCACCGATAAACATACGGCAATCCATCCATTACTTAAGTACTATAACTGACTTGAGCTATATATAGACACCAAGAATCATTAGCCACGAACTATGCGAACTATGTCAACTATGCACTATTCACATAATATACACTAGGGCTATTTAAAAATACTTATCATATCACAAATATGAAATTACTAGTGAAATTTGAGAAAAGGASAAAAAT